CATTAGCCAACAACAACTTGTTAAATATATTACTTTGGTTTTGATTTGACTCAAACTGTAACTCGTAGATGGATATCAGAAAGTTATTTGCCCGCAGCAGGGATAAAGCAGCGAGGAATGAGAGAGGTAAGTGAAGTCCTAGCTAGCTAGGCAACATAAGTCTGTCTTAAGTTAATGCTAAGTTAGCTAATGTTATTCCTTGTATCAAGACAACCCTATTAATTTACTGTACGAGCTGTGGGGGGAATTTCCAGTGAGTTTCATCAGCATGAAATATAATGTTGGTTATGGTCTGCTGGTTCTGCTCAGGACCACTGCATCAATGATTATTTTGAGTTAGCTTGTGTTAGTTGACAGATATAGCCTTTGGATGGTGCAATGGTTCTCAAATGGTCTATCTTCAGGAAGAAAAACATTTTTCCCTATCATCAAGTTGTGAGACAAATTTTTTTTTTTTTTTTTTAATTTATTTAATATTTTATATAACATACAAACAAAATAAAACAAAACAAAAACACAATAATAGTGATGGTGGGTACATATACAGACAAGACAGAAACAAAAACAGTTAACAGTATCTTAAAGTAGTGTGTGTATGCATGTGAATGTGTGCACGTGTGTGTATGAAGCTTTTGTTTCATTTTCCCTTCGGTCCCCCCCCCGCCCATCCCTCCAAACCCCCTTCTAAATCAAGGAGACCCCTGACCGACCAGCGTAAAAGCTGTAAGCTCAAGTGGAGAGCGGGTCCGGCAAATTTTTAAACCTTTCAAGTTTATTTCACAGAAAAAGTAGACTTGTCTTGTGAATCGGTTTGCCTTAGGCTAAAATAATCTTGTTTTGTCACCAGAAAAATGGCTACAGCAAAAGCATCTGGTTTTGTTGACAGAAAAAATAATAAAATTTCTGTATTTGTCGCCAGAAACATGGCTAAAAGTATCGGTTTGATGTCCCAATCATGTTTTTTTTTTTCCTTTTTTTGCCTCTGAGTCATTTGATATTAAATATCAATGGCGGAAATACAAAACCTCCTATAAGAGGAAAAAAACAAAAAACAATTTTTGGGAAAACAAAAAACCTGGGATTATTTTGCGAGCAGAGCAGCTTTTGCTATTCTTATTATCCCATGTGAAAATTGAAGACCATAAAAAATGCAGATAGGAGACTTTGAGCTATGCACATATTTGTACAGCAATAAACAGTAATATTTTCATGTTGCTTCGGACTAAGGTGAGCGGAGTGCAGAGGCGGAGAGATGGAAGTTGATGGGCCTCAGAGAGAGATGACACAGAGAGTAAACACTAAGAGGTGAGACCTGGTTGACAACGTAGTTAGTTAGTGTAAACTAATATTAGTTGTAAAGGTTATCTGAGGCGACAGTTAATCATATTCAATTTTTTGTATGTTGCACCAGGCAGGATTGAGCTGGCTGAATCAGGGGAAAAAGAGAGGAGGAAGGACAGCAAGAGACAGATAGCCAGGAGAGACCACACCCCAGAGATGAGACTGAGAAAGCAGTTGCAACAGTGGCAGAAAACATCAGACTGGGGGCAAGGCCAAAAAGCAGTGTCCACAATGTTGAGGAACATATAAGTGATCTAGGGGGAAAGGATTCTGGCTCAAACATTGGCAAACATTTAAAGCACGATACCTTTGTAAACACTGGTGTAGCGATTTGAATTTATAACAAATGTCTGAAGATGAATAGTCTCAAATTATGACGTTTATGCACTCGTTGAAAGGGGCACCACCCACCCTTAATGGAGGGAAAATAAAGAAAAACAAAAGTTTAACTCAGAAATCAAACATTAAGTCAATCTTTAATTAATCAATCTCATATCTTAAGCCGATATTCTCATTTCAGGGACCCCACTTCTGGAAGAATAAAAACAGACAGGAACTTATTACAGGATAAATGATGGTGCAACATACATGCAATAAATGATGTTAACATAATGAGGATAAATGATAATAGGTGAATAATAAAAGATTCTGAGTCAGGCTAGGAGCACTAAAATTAATGATAGTGAGTGAATATGCTTTAACATATTATCCTACACTAACTTTGGTGTCAAGATAAATTTGGATGTGGTTTGTGCGGTTCAGCTCAGAAAACGACTTAAGTCAGCCGAAGGACAGGCCAGGAGTTGCAGCACTCGGGCCCGAAGCAAAACCCAGCGCTTGTGGATCCTTCAGATCTCCTATCGTCTCACTCAAAAACTCTGGCACAGGGGATGACTTTGGGCCTGCTGGGTGGCATTCAGAGGTGACTTGAAATCACGCAGATAACTCAGAAAAAGAGGCTTGATGACCAGTGGAAAACATTTCAAAATAGCTTTGCGAAATTAAAGAAATATCAATTAAAGGCTTAGTCTTGAATTGCTGACCTGGATTGAGTCGTGAATGATTATTTAGATGGTCAGCGATGGAGTCAGTTTGAAAGGTAATAAAGGATCTGGGCTCTAATTTCGTGCTGAGCAGCGCAGCCCGGCGTAAGTATCCCCCCTCCCTAACTCAGCTCCTCCCAGCGGTGTAAGTCGTAGCAAGGGAGGAGAGAGGGCGTTTAACACAGCCAAGACCATAGACTGTATATAAGATGGATGCTGTGGTTCTGCCTTCCGCCTGTATACGGATTTTAAGCCAAAAAGCTCTCGGTAATTCCGGGTTTTTCTCCACTTCCTTGCAACCAGAGCTGCGCAGTAGCTGGGCGGTTTTTGGCTGGGCGGGATAATGCTCCGCTCAAAAAGTGCCCCCCCCCCCCCAGCCTTTCATCGGTAACGCTAATAGCTTCCCCGCTCGATGCGACCAAGAATAAGTAAGTTCCACTTCTCCTGATATAATGTGAAATTTGTGAGCGTACTAACTTTTAAGAACATAAAATACCATCATAAGTAATACAAATAAAGATATCATCTATTACTTGATTGGCAAGTAAGTCATCTCTCTTTGTTGAAAGAAACGGTGTAAAAGGAAGCTAAAGTAGCATTGCAATTTAACACTAGCCTTGGTAAATTAAACAGCAAAATACGTGATATTTTTAGTTTATCAGTTGTTAAGATATATGCTATTGTCCTGTGATTAAAAATGAACAAAATTCTGAATGAACAGCAAATACTGTTTTTATGTTATTCTCCTTTTTTTAGACAGAGAGAAGAAGCTTCAAAGATGAGCATGACAACATCAGCCACTGTGACCAGAAGTAAGGATAAAAATTCATTGAGATGGATGCTGATTTAGTTGGATATGATTTGAGTGAGACTTTTAATAGGTAATGTTATACATAGTTTTTTTGTGATGTAACAAGAGCAAGCTCAAGTTTTCAATTCCAAATTATAACTACTGTAAAAAATATTAAACAGCATGTGATTCAGCATGATGTGGAATCATGCTGAATCACAAGCCATGGAAGGTTTTGTAGGAAAATGAAGTTTTTCTTTTATTGTTCAATACATTTACAGAACCACATATATTCATCATCGGGGACAGCTACATTCGTCGTGGGGAAACGAGATACATTCGTCGTGGGGAAACGAGAGCGAGGCAGACCATCAGGACCGACCTTGGTCTGGATGCCCGTGTCCTGTGGTTTGGCTGGGGTGGCATGGTGTGGAGGAACTTCCTCTCTTTTTTTCATCAGTGCTGTCGGGGAAGAGCTGTGCCAGACGTCCTTTTGATCCATTGTGGCGGGAATGACCTGGGGGTCACCAAGACCATCAAGCTTGTGGCGGGAATCAAGCAGGACCTCCAGGATCTCCATCGGCAGTTCCCCACCATGAGGATCATCTTCTCTGCCATCACCCAGAGGAGCCGATGGAGATACAGCCCCAAGAAAATGGACAAAGCCAGGCGCTATGTGAACAGTGTGATGGCTACTTTTGTTTCATCTGTTGGCGGAAGCATTGTGCATCATCCTCAAATAAAGCACAGAGATCCTGGCCTTTTTTTAAATGATGGAGTTCATTTCACCACTTTGGGTAATGACATTTTTTTAAATAATATTGCCTTGTGTTTGGAAAGACCAAATCTAGTAGGATGGTGCTAGATTTGGGATTTCACCTACAATAGGCGGCAAATAATGGTCAGGATTTATCTGCTTTATTTGTGATTGATGTGCACATTTTGTTTAATTGTTTACTTCAGCACAATTTTGTGAATTTGGTTTTACAAAGGTAACCATCACACTGTTCAATTCTGTCACAGCTCTTCCTCCTTCTCTCTCTATCTCTCTCTGTCCTACAAACTTTCTGCCGTACCCCAGCCATTCCACCCGATGGTCTTCCTCAAGGCGTTTTCCCCACGACGAATGTAGCCGGGGATGTTTTTTATGTTAGAAAAATTAAATTAATGTTGAAACTTCACATGCTTTTCTGTGATTTGTTGTACCATGATAAAGTTTTCTGATTTACAGCACAGATGAAAAAACACAGTATATGCTTTATTATTCCAGTGTATTTGTCTCAAAATTTTATTTTTCATGTAAAGCTATCAAAAGAAAAAAACATACCACAACAAAGTCAATGCATTTCTTATGTACTCATCATCAAGTGATTAACAAGAAAAGAGCTTAACATCAGTCCTAGTATTCTTGCTTCTGGTGCAATGGTCAGATAAGACAATTCAAAAAGGCTGTAAAGGACTCACACACAGAAAGATGGAAAAGACAAATGTCTCAAAAAAAGTTGGATCCATTTTATTCCTAGCAATAAAATGGATCCAACTTTTCAAGACATTTGTCTTTTCCATCTTTCTGTGTGCGAGTCCTCACCATGAAGTGGACAAAGTGTGGTAAAACTGAAAAAACAAACTGACAATATGTGTAGTGAACAGCATGTAATTAATGTAAATCAGATAGCATGACATGGACACTTGTGAGAGGACACTAGCATTTTAGTATTTATTTGTGATTTATAAATACTTAACTCCTTAGCAGAAAACCTGTATGTTTGTTATTTAACCAGGAACTTAAAAAGATATAATCTAGTATTTTGGGAGTTGCATTGGGAGGAAAGGAAACAGGCTGCAGCAGATGAATCCACCATATCATCAGTGGTTGGTGATGAAGTCTGAAAAACACAAAGAAATTCATCAATTAAATTGTGAATACCAGCACTTAAACTCATTAAGACACTTATGTCTCAAACCAGGTGGTAGCTCAGCATGAAAACTTTAGAGGTTTTGATATACTTGTCCAATTATTTAAAAGGTTCCATTTAGTTAGCATTCTTAGAGACTACTACTTGGCTAGTGCTGTTACCTTTACCTAACGGGGCACATTTGGTCTAAGCATAAGAAGTTGTTCATGTGGTATCACTCAAATTTTTTTTGCAACATGATTCCTGTTTTTTTTTACTCCAGGCTGCGCCAACTTAAACTGAAAATGACTGATGACACTAACTAATAATGAACAGTAGATGGTAGCAGACACTACAACTACATGCAAATACCTAAATTTTATGACGTTTTAATCTCACTCTTTTCTCATTTCTGTCTTGACTTTGTCTTAATCTATTTCCTTACTGTTAAAATACTTTTGTTCTGATCTTGTTTCTGATCTGGCTTTAATACATGTAACACAGAAGGCCCATCTTAGTTGAAAGCCCACTCACCACGACTCACCCTAACCACAAACTTTTCGGTGGCCTGACTTTTCTTTGTCAGAGTTTTAGGAGCCTTCAGATGGTAGCTGTGATCCTCTCCAATGGGGACAAGTGCTGCATTCATTGGTGCTGATGCTGAATAACTGTGGTCTTCCTTAAATGCATTCACTGTTACAGCAGTGTCAGCCTGACAGATGTCAATGCTTAATGGGTCATTCCCATTTGCATTTTCAGTCAAGGTGGCATTGCTGTAATCGGCAGCAGATGGAAAGCTAACGTGGCCTTGGTCTACGTGTGACTCCTGTAGGCTGACCTGAGAAACCTTGGCTGATTTAAGTGACGGCTGCCTTACCTCTGTGTCACTACCTCCCAAAATCCTGCGTTTCACACCTAACACAGAGGACCTTACCTGGTGATCTAGAAACACAGTTGGAACAGCTGTCGTCTTGAGGCAACGCTTACCCTAGAGAAAAACATAAAAACAGCAATAATTTAAAATGGAACCACAATAGTTGTAGTGTTCAGCTCTTGGGAATGTTTAAATAACCGCCATTTTATGATTCAAAGTGTTAGTCAATTTAACAATAAATTGTTGCAAATGTGAACTTCATAAAAATTGCTGTCCATTAAAAAAGAAATAATTTAACCTTTGAGTCCACAGTAAAGGCATGCTCTTCAAAATGAGCACTGCAAAGACATGATGATCCTGTTGCTTTCCAGTCCTGCCGTCTTGTGTTCACCAGCCACTGCTTCAGCCTCGCTTTGTCACCTAAAGGGAAACTTTACAAAAATACAATAACATTGCTTACTGCCATTTGTTAAGTTTGTAAACAACACAAAGTTAATGTTTTGCGTTCAGTTTAATTCTTGCTTTGTTGCATAACAGGCTGAAGCCAAAACTCTAAATTCAAAGACAATCACAAAAAATACCTCAAGTGAATGAATATACAAGCTGTATAAATAATCTAAATCATTTCATCTTGTGGGTGATATGTCTTATGAACATACTATCAAAATTAAGGGATTTCTTTGCATGTAACAAAAATTTTAATGTCATTGTGATTGATTAAGTATGTCATTTGCAGCTGTCTTTCCATAACTAATTACATTACTCATAGTTTTATCTCGATCTCATAAGTAACAGGGCTATCTATCTATCTATCTATCTTGAAAACTTAAATAACACATGATCTACCATGCTGCTGTAAATGATAATTGTCATTCCACAGAAGTATACTTATGACTTATGTATGTTATTTGATAACATAATAACATAATAATATAACAGTTATGCAACTTGTATAAGTAATCTTTTGAGCATGTCCTTCTATACACTTATAGGGTCTCGTTTTCTCGACGTTTTGTCCCATTAAAGACAGTTTCAGAGGTTTATATTAGACAAATATCGTTATGTCACCAGAAGCTGTAATACTACTGCCGCTGTACGGAGGCGACTGAACCGGCGGTCAATCTTCTGCCAGAAAGCTAGGACAGTGCATCCGAAAGATGCATTTTAATTAAACCATAACTGATTTTAGCGCAGGCTGCTCTCGTTGTAACATACCCGAGTAAAACTGGTTGATCCATTATCAAAACTTCCACTCATAACATCATGACTCTCATTATATTCATTTACATGGCCTTGTTCTCATAAAGTGATGCAATATTAGGGGAATGACTTAAATGCAAATTAATTCCTTTAACATTATGACTTCATGCCTCGAGTTTTCATTTCATGCCCTAATACTCTGTGGTAGTATTTGGTTGCTAGTATGAACCTGTGTGATCGGTACGGTTTTTAATTCAAATTCAAAGTCACATAGTCATAATATTGTTATAAAAAGAAGGCGGATTTTAAGGGGTTTCCTCATTGTTTAACTTCTATTAAAATGCTTAAATAAGGCACAGAACTTACCGCTTGGTATCTGTAAGTAAACCCCATTAGCTAAATTAAACCAGACCGTTTGATGTTATGTAGCTAGCAAGCTGATGACTTCATAAAAAAATCATAACTTACCGAAACAACTGCAAAGATCCCGATTTCACGGGATCCCGCTCCATTCACTTGGCTGGCAGAAGTGGGGTTTATGACTTGTACTGCAGCCAGGCTCTAGGGGGTGCTGTTCTCGGAGTGGCTTCACCTGGCGAGGAGACAGGCGGCGTCCATCTTATATACAGTCTATGGCCAAGACCTGTTTTCACCAATCACATAAGCTCCTCTCCTTGCCTTTAAATCCGCCACCAGTGAGGCGTATTACTATTTTCATGAAGTAGTCAAAGAGCTCAAGAGATGTCTGAAGACAGTAATGCCACACGGTGGTGACAGAAGGCAGCTCCTCAACAAGTGTCGCTGTAAGTGCTGCACTGGGCCCGCCCCTGTTACGCCCTCCTATAAATATGCAAATTTATTTAAATAGGGTCTCCCCGTCCTCGCACGCAGACAAAATGACAAGAAAAACTAAATTTACGGTGTGCGAGGTGGAGGAGCGACAGCGTGTTTTGTTTGGCAGCCTGTCCAGTGGCGTCAGTGCAAAACGAAAACGCTTGGAGAGGGAGAAAGTTTGCGAGAGGGTGAATGCGGTGGGTTCCGAGACACGCACCCCCGCGGAGATTAAAAATAAGTGGTTCGACCTCAAGGTGGAGGTCAAGCGGCGTACAGCTCCCCTCCAGAGGAGTACCGGCCAGACAGGTGGGGTCTGGGGGAGGAGACCCTCACATCGTTTGAGCAGCGGGTGGTGGCGATTATTATTATAGGGTAAGTGGCGTGTCACACAAATGTCCACATGCTTTGCCATCCCACTGAGCAAAAGACGTATATTAGACGTCTAGTCCAAGTTTATACTTCATTTCAATGTCGGGATTCAGTCTATTTTTAGACGTGATTTATACTTCGCCCTTAACTTCATTTTTCGCGCGTGAGGACGGCGGCCCGGCAGGGATCAGCTCGCATCCCTCCGTCTGCTGCTGGTTCGTCATGTGGGGCGACGTGCTGCTCAGCCACGGGGATGTGGTGCACGCTTGTCACATAGTGAGTCACCAAACATCGCCACACAGCGTCACCAAAGTGCTGTCAACGCAAGTATTGGCTCAACGCCAACTTCTACACCACCTCCTCACTTTGCTAGATTAGCGCTGGAACCGACGCTCGTGTCGCGATGATAAATCTGGACGTGTGCGCCAATCTTGGCGTACGCAAGGTTTTCTAGCACCGCCAGCGTTGATACATGAGGCCCCTGATCACTGAAACAAATCATCTGTTCAGCCACTGCAGCAGCAGCTGCAACAGGACGGGGAGAGGACACGGAGACATGTCCAGGTCGAGCTGTGCGAGAAATAAGAGGAAGAGGAAGAAAGAAAGGGAGGGAGACAAATTAAATATCTTGTTAACTTCATCGTTTATTTACTAGATATTTAATCTAATTAAATGCGGTTTCAGCTGCGTAGATTTGGTCAGGTTGTGTGTTCAAACGCGTGCCAAACGCGCTCATCAGATCAGATATAGATCAGACTATATATTAGGGGTGTGACGATACACTCAGTTAGCGAGATGAGGCGAGACACGATATTGGGTTCACGAGAACGAGGCGAGACGAGATTTTAAGAAAACTACAATGACATACTATGTGACTGGACCAACAGACTTTCATTTAACACATGCATTTTGAAATGTTTCCTTTTAACTCTTTACATGCATGATGTAAGCATGAGCTTTTAATCAACTTCTTCTACAAATTGAAACTAAAACTAAAATGCATGAGTTAAAATAAAATATTTCTTTTTTTCAAGTGCAAACAAAATAATGTGCAAAACCAAATCAAACTTCTACTCTGTCAATACAGAGTGCAAACAATGCAAACAGAACCTGACCAAGTATGTCACTGACAACTTGCTGCAACTACACAGCCATGTTCTTTTTTAAGAATTTTAGCATCCCGTTCTCTGGCAGCAGTTGGGATCTTTGCGCATTGACTATGTCTCCGGCTGTTGAAAAGATGCGCTCACTTGGAACTGAGGTAGCAGGGACAGAAAGGCACGCTTGGCAAGGCGAGACAGCAAAGGATATTGGGAGCAGTGTTCTTGCCACCACTTCAGAGGGCAGCCACTGAGAGGGATAGAGGCCTCTTTTCTGTAGTTTTCAACTTCCCTCTCAGCCTGTTTTGAACTGTTGGACTCCTCTGGCTCAGTAGAGAAAGAGTTCCCTAACAGGTCCTCAAGTGCTGTCTTTTTGGGAGCAGGTTCTGCAACTTCGGGCTCATCATCTCTCACAGCCTCCTCTCCACCATGTGTGGGACAGTGAGCTCCACCTGCTGCCCCTTCTTCCCTCTCCTCAGCTGTGGTCTTTAAACAGAAGAAACACTGGCATTAAATTTGATAAGAAGCTAAGAGCCTTCCCCACACACACACACACAAGTGATGCTCTCATGTTTCTAACACACACACTTCATCAATCTCTTTAAAATGTTTAGTTCACAAACATACACAATACAATTTAAAGTGATATATATACCTGTTTTTTGCAGCAACTGTTCTGCCTTGTTCTGTACCCTCAGGAAGATGGCCTGACACTGCTCATGGTCTAGCTGAGGTAGAGTCCGGAACCTTGGGTCCAGTACTGTGCACTCCAGCAGATAGTTGAAGGCATCCCCACTGTATCTGTTTGCAATATTTGTGAGGATTGCAGTCTTTGTGTTGGTCACAGTGGTGGAATCTCCATCATTTGGTGTCATGTTCTGTTCAATCATGCTCTTCAGTGGCACAATGAGAGACACTGTGGGACTCTTCTCCTCACACAACACTGTGGTGGCTGTCTTCAAAGGATGCAGCAGCTTCACGAGGTCCACAGCATCTCTGACATCGCAGCTGTCAAGTGTATCAATGCTTCAGGTGTTTTGTCTTATCTCCCGGCTGGTTAGAGCTGCTGCTATGGCAGCTTGCTGCTCCCGGTAACGAGCCAGCATATCCAACATGCTGTTCCATCGCGTCGTAACGTCCATGATTAACTTGTGTGATGGCAATTGTAGCTGTTTCTGCTTTTACATCAACACTGCGGTAGCCGTTGAACTCCGGTGAAAAAAAGCAGCTACACGTCTCACCCGCCCGAGCAAACGAGCGACGCGGGGAACACCGAGGCCAGCTTGGGTTGCGAGATTTATAGTGTGCGCAAAACACTTAATGTGCGGTGTTAATCGCACACGGCCACGTCCATATTACGTGCATTGTCAGTAACAATAGCGATGCCGTGGTTGGGTTTTTTAAGCTCCCAGTCAGTAACAGCTGTTTGTGAAACCTCAGCTATGTTTGCCCCTGTGTGGGACTCGAAAAGTGGGCGAGTCTGTAGTACAACAATTTCCATTTTCCAGTCATTGTTGATTGTGTGGGCTGTAATTGTAATGTAGCTTTGGGTACCTCTCGATGTCCAACCGTCTGTTGTTATGGCGATGCTTTCTGCATCTTTCAGGATCTGTACAACCTTGCTCTTGGACTCTCCATAGAGTTTCGGGATCACTGTGCGGGTAAAATGCGTGCGTGATGGGATGGTGTACTTCGGTTCCAGTGTGTGGATGAGTCGCCGAAATCCTTGATTTTCTACCACAGAAAATGGCCTCATGTCTGCTGCGATGAAAACACCTATGTCTCTTGTTAATGTTGTGGCTCTGGTGCTTGACTGTGTAAGTTCAGGTCCGAATGCGCTTGTCAGCGTTGTCTGGCCTTGTTGATTTGAGTACCAAGCTGTGGTGGTGCTGTATTTGTCACTGCATCGTGCTCGTATTAGCCGCAGTGTACGGCATTATTTTCATAGAATGCCTACAAATTGTCCGTGTCTTATCAGTCACTCTACTGCCATTTATCATTTCCGCCGGGTACCCAAAATGCTGCCGAAAAAACGACTTGAAAGTGGCGGGGGGGATCTTCAATGGTAAC